ATATATATAGGGTTTTTATATAAAATATATAAATATTATATATATGTATATATGTGTATATATGTAGGGTTTATATATATATATATATATTTATAAATATAAATGTTTGTGTGTGCGCACACAATTTATATATTAGTATATTTAAGTATATATAAATATATACATATATATATGTGTGTGTATGTATAATATATATCTTTATATATATCTATCGGGTTTTTATATAAAAATATATATATATTTGTATATTTAAGTATATATATGTATGTATGTGTGTGTGCATGTATAATATATATCTTTTATCTCTATATATATATGGTTCATATTATATATATATATATGTATATATATAATATACATATTTCCATGGCTACATTATGACATTATTTTCGGTTGATATATGTATATACCTACATTGTGACAAACACACACGCGCACACACATATATATATATATATATTAGATCTAGCAAATATATTATTTACCATTATTATGTATATGTGATTATATATATATATTTATATATGTATATATATATATATATAAATGTATCTTATATATATGTATATATATATAAATGTATCTTATATATATGTATATATATTGTTTGAATTGTATATTCGTGCTGGTAAAATCAATTGCTTCAATTGTCAATTTTGAATGTATTAGAAGCTAGTTTTGAAGATAGCCATTTCCTAGGTTCAGATTTCAGTATAATGGTAGCCGCAAGACTTTTATATGCGATTTAATATGGTCCCAACTACCTGAGCTATATCCGATACAATTATTCAATATATATTAATGTATATATGCCATTCTCTCATTATAGAAAGATAATATCTACACCATTCCCAATCTGTTGTGTGTGAGCCGTGCCGCCGCCTCTCCGTTTGTAGCGCATTTGATTTTGGCTGGACGAAATACCGAAGCATTTGGGCTTCTGTTTGTGGCTGGTTTGACCGATCTGGTAAGTGAACAGTGCTATCCCGTGGTAAATCAAAACTTGAAAGGATGTGAATGGTTTAGCTATAGATGCTATATGGCAACTATGCGAATGTGTATCAGTTATTGGGTGCAATATAGTATCAGTTGTGAGGCACTTCGCACTCAATTTTGGCCGGCCGCAAAACGGAGGTTTTGAAGTTCTGTTTGTGGCTGGGTTAACAGATTTGGGATATGGTGTTGTGAATAGTCGCATCCGTCCATATTCTATCCTCTGGTATAAGCAATAATAGTCTTATAAGTCAATGATTTGGGTTTAAGACGTTCATGCTAACATATATCTAATGTTTAGACTGAGGTGTAATTTGTGTCACATCGATTGGCCAGATGCATGTCTGAATTATTTGGGCGGCTGTATATGGCTGGATAAACAGATATGGTATTTGGATGGAGCTATACGTGGCAGCACAAATGTACCTTATTATGCTGTTTGGTAGTGTGTATCGAGGATTTTAATGTGAGCATCTTTATTTGCATGTATAGTGTAGTGTTCACAACCCACCTTTGCATTTTTGCATGATTGTGACTTTAAGCATCTTAATCTATACCCTCTGTGACTAACGAAGGACACTTTTTGTTTCGATATATATATATATATTGTAATATTTGTGTCGTCCACGTGTAGTAGTGAGTCATGCATGAAGACTCAGATGTACGAGGGGTTAGTTTTGGGTTGAAATACCAGTGCTGTATTGTGTGATATTGGTTTTACACGTACGAGGGATTCAGTATGTGTATGCCAATAGAACTAGAGCATAAACTGTAAGGTAGCGGGGAGTGTAAAGTAGTGTAAAATATAGTTGACGAGTGACGGACTGACGGACTACAGAGGAGACCGGGCACTCGGGATACAAAGAGGTGTTGTGTCAGTAACCAGAGGGGACTGACTGTAGGCAATATCTAGTTAGGACTATATAAGACATGGTTATGAGGTGATCGGTCCTCATAATCTTGTAAGCTATTACACTACTTTGATAGTATAAAGTGTAACGCTATTTCACTCTAAACAGTTCTTGATCTAAACAAGCTAACTCACAAGATATATATATATTTATATTCATGTATATATATATATATATGTATATTTATATATATTTATATATATGTGTGTGTATATTTATATATGTGTCTGTGCGTGCGTGTATGCTTGTGTGTATATGTTTGTATGTATGGATGGATGTATGTATATATTAATTTATATATCAGCATGTATATCGGCTGTGCATTGAGATACTAGATTTCAAGTCGAATCGCAAGTTTTGACGCTTTCTGTGAACTTTGTATTGTATAGTCAGAACATTCTGGGTACATAAGATTATAGCGGGCCATAAACCATTGCGTTTGCGCTCGTGTATTGTGCAGATAGATCTGGTATATGAGTATTGCTTACGTTTGTTCTGGATAGTCTAGCAGCCGCCTGCACGCTGAGCGGGAATGCAATAGTGTTTGCGAATGACACCATACTAGCAACGCACAAATGATTCGTAGCAGTTGTGCTTGTGCATATAGGATTCTGGTGCACAACACGATCATTAGAAGTGCTTAGACATAACAATTCATGGACACGGGCTGTGTGTCTACATCCATACCTTAGGATTACCACCGTTGCTACCAGTACTTAGATCACCTAGTTTCAGGGGAGTGATTGCTCGAAAAATATGTTTCTACCTGGAACAGCTTCTTATTGTCTAAGCTCACGACAGTCTACCCCGCCATGTTCTAAGCCGCCACGTCAGTGCAGTGCTGCGTTGGAATCGTAGCATGTTCAGCAACCTTACGACTACTATTAAAAAAAAATCTATGCGTATGGTTATGCTAGACACAATCAGATTCGATTAACAACTTTCTCCGTGCGTTCGTCACAGTTCGATGGAATGATCGCGCGCCGATGGCCCTCTCAGGCGTCCCGGTTTGGCACAGCACTGGATCCGGTGTGCGACAAGATCTTGATGACCACAGTAGTCGGTGAGTGGGATATAGACGAACAAGATATTCATAGTTGTTAGTATATATGTGTGTGTGCGTGTGTGTGTGATATGCATTTCTATGTAAACACACAAGTATACGTTATATGCCTTACTATCATATTCTCTGTCCTACGCATCAGTGTGCTGCAGCGCACGTTTGCTTCAAGTTTTACCAATCGAACTGAAGAACTGGTGTATCTAGTATACCGGCTAAAAACGGAATGGAGTAGTTTCTAAATGCAGCCTTTGAATAAGTGCTAAATCAAAATACCTTCATCTGCTGTGCTCATCGAGTATCCTCTGGTTTTGTCTATAGAGTAACGTCTCGATAGTAGTCAGATATTGAGCGTTTGTTAACTGGTATTTTTCTACTGCCGATAAGATTTGGAAATACTTGCGGGACGCCTGACAAACGGTTAGCGATGCAGACACAAATCCATATTACTACGAACTCAATCCATACACTTACGTTGCATTCGGTGCCCTTATTTATTGTCCAGTTGCGGAGACGAGTGTGGGTATGTTGCCATGGCAACTAGCAGCGGTCATGATTGGACGAGATGTTGGGCTTGTCCTGGGTGGATTCTGGTACAGATACCTGTCACTCGCCCCGCCGGTATGTCACCGCGTCCTTCCGTACGTACGAATGTACGTATATCTGTGCGTATAGGAATCCCGTCGCGTAAACCAGGTTTTATTTTTAGACTCAGTTGAAAATCATTGCTATCTCAGAGAGTTGTTCGCCTCAAATACACTCGAAGTGAGTTGTAGTTGGCTCGTCTATTTGCGCCTCTAAAACTTGCATTTTCTTCTTCGTCTCGATTTGTGCAGGTCACTTTACACAAGTTCTTCGACGGCAGTCACGGTGCTACTGAGTTCCATCCGACAATGCTGGGCAAGGTGTGTGACCTGCGATTTAAAATAAGAAGCATTCTACTTCCCGCATTAGAGGGCACGTGTTCACGCCTACTTAATCCATTTTGCCCGATACGTGTACCCACAAAAATTAAGATTAATTTACAGACAATTCGTCGCATATGTGAAGGTAAAGTTTCTCTGACTGACTTGAAGTACTTTTGTCGCAAGCACATATTGTCCCAAATTCGTATCCCTTGTTTCCATTGGCAACTACTTTCCCCAACCGTATTTTTATTGTCTAAAAGCTTAATCTGATAGGGCACGGATGCGCGCGTGAGTACAGCAGCGGTTTATTTCAAAGTTGCCATACTGATTACCTGTGCTTCTTTTGCTCAGGTGAACACGTGTCTGCAGCTGCTGCTGATTGGTTCGTCGCTGGTCTACCCACTACTAGGCCTCGAAACGCTCGTGCCCATGGTTGCCTTCCAGTATGTCGGCGTATATATGTGTTTTTGATTTCATCATACTTCTGTGTATTTTGGCTTCCCCGCTGTTTGGCACAGAACCTTGGTTTACTTGTGTTTTGGCTAACCCTGACACCGCATCAAACACTGCAATAAATCGCTTTGTGTGAATCAACGAAATCTGGTCATATATGCTTTTGGGATTTTCATTCTTTCGTGATTGATTTTCGCAAGTTAACACGTGTTAGCTTCACCTATATCTTAGCTGTGGCACGTCATTGGCTTTTTAGTATTGTAGTAAATATATTTCACACACCATTTTTTTTTTTCAGTGCAAGACATGTTTTAAATGACTACATACGTGTCTATCACCTCGTTTCGACATACCTTCATTGTTAATGCATGTTGATGTCGCTGTAGCAGTGCTGTCAGGGCCTTGTCAAGCCTTGGATCCCTATTTGTTAATTTTAATTGAATAATACAACACATACGTAAACTAACTTGCTCTCGTCGGTATGTCTTCTCGGTCTTATGTGACTCATAGGTACCTGGTGGGGAGTACTACCGTATTGTCGGGGCTACAGTATGTGACATCCAACACGGCTGTGCAACTGCACAAACGATAGGCGAGATTTACACAGCCGAAGTGTCACTCAACAATCTAGGTGAGAAGATTTAAAAAAAATTATAACCAAAAGTCTTTCTGTGGCATTCCACCAACAGTCTGCTTATAACGGCATCTGATACAATGTATTCAACACACACTGAGCTTCTCCGGGGGCGCATGGAATGGAATACGGGCCGGTCAGTCTGGTAGCGTCTATGGGTGTAGCAGAAAATGAAATACCGAAGACGGTAAAACTCGCAACACTATAACCGCTGTGATCAAATACCATAGCTAATTCTTCTGTGGTGATTATAGCAAAGTCAAACAGTTGTTACTTTTACTTGCAGAGTTAAACAGGAGACTGCCAGCAACAAACTGACGTTGTATTCACGACTGTGGCCACGATTGCTTCGGTATCGCGAATTGGTTAACTTACAGAGAGAGGCTGTCTGTCAGATTATAGTGGCCTATTGGCGGGCCGGACACCAACCAGGCAGCTGCAGCTGGATTGGCAGTGTGGTCTAGAGGGACCTCTTTGGTAATCGGTAAGGTAACCTATTAGTGAAGCGGACCCCAGCATCACCGCCGGAGATGGAAGTAAAAGACTTAGGGGGACGGTTAGTGGTAATCGAAACTGGAATGAACAAGCAAAACCCACCATGGAAAACGATGGTACAACACAGAGATCGGCATTTCAACACTGTCTACTTGAGAAATCGGACCAGATGCAAAGACTGATACTGCAGGCCACCGGTGATGATACGATTGCAAACGTATCGGAATGTAGTCTACCATCGGTAAACGGAAATATGACGAGTCATGGAAGGTCCCATGCCAAAACACTCATGATATATGTATATAGGGTACTTGCAACGATCGAATCTCAAGGACAAAGACAGTTTCGAATGCCTACACTTCTCAGGACGACCATATGCAGATGTATCTCTGGCTCGGGTCCGAGGCACGGACACATTGCACATTCTTTCTCATCGATGTATTCGGAGGCGTGTCTGCTCAGAGGCCTAGGTCTGACGATAGCTATTCCGAAAGCGGTTACGTGCAGAAAGTGCACCCTACAGAACCATGTTATCACTAGAAACTAAAAGTGGTGCGATGATGCAAATGCACACCGGCGTCGGTTTTACGTCGCAGACGATAACAGCGTCAGCGGCTGCTATCAATCAAGAACCACAGAAGGCTCGAGATTGGCATGAGGGTGCGTTACATACAACAGGTATAAAGTTGTAAACATCATTTCTTTCAGACCGCCCCCGGGATAATCTGGATGAGTTTATTATAGTTCAGTGCGACTCGGCAGTATACATAGCATAGAAAGTGTTTCTATGCAACTAAATGCAAGTGACCCGGTTTCAGTTACTATCTTTCCATTATCTCTAGAGTATTCTAAATACCAACTCTGTATGTGTACAGGGTTGCCTATGCTGTTGCCCAGAAGAGTGTCAATGTGCATATCTCTCTGGAGAATATGTTTGTCTACGTGACATAAATAAATACCTGATATGTCTTTTTTTTTTTTCAAAAGCCGGTCAGATAAGCAAATATGTATAAATATGTCCTGTGACTGCTGTCTTCTCGACAGCATGACCACATCACCACGATTATACAATAATGTTCAATTTAGGAGGCTATGAATAAATAGCTAAAAATTACTTGCGTCAAATTTTTTATTGTTTGTTTTTTTTTGCTTTGTTTGTACACGCCTGAAGCCCAAATACTACAACATACAAACAAAAACCAATAATTACTATCATGGCTGTTTTTTTGTTTTGTTTGTACATACTACAACATACAAACAAAAACCAAAACAATTACTATCGTGACCTGCCAGGCAGCCAGGGGATAGGGCCAGACCGCCAGAGGGCCAGACTCCCAGAGGTCAAGGCCCAAGAAAGCCCCAGAAAGTCAGGCGTCGCTCCTCTCTAGAGTGGTGCCGGTACTGCTACTGTCTCGTATGTATTCCACATCCTACACCGAATCACCGGGGTATTCACATCCTACACCGAATCACCGGGGTATTAGAGCAAAATCAGCAAATGCAAACTATGTAACTAAATAAATACTGGTTTGTGACTTTGTAGTTTGGGCTCGAGTCTCGAGTCTCGACGTTCTCCCCTACTGGACGCACACGAGTACATTGTAGTAATGTACCCTGCTGAAATGCTAATCACTGACTCCCTGGCCCCTGTGGACCTTATTTTATCGCTCTCGAGCAGACAATCAGACACGCTCACCAAATAAATAGTAAATACCAACAGGAGTACAGAACGGGGTTCAATTGGAGTTGAGCAAAGTACTAAGAAGGCCGTACAAATTGCAAAGTACAGACAAACTACTGACATAGCTGATAGCCCTAAATTATACAAGAGGACTATGTTACAGTACACAACCATTTATTTATCACTAAAAGCTTTAGCTATTAGGTCCCTCAGAACTTTAATTTATCCAAATAAGGAACAAAAGCTTTTTATGCCCATTTGAGACCCTGTACATAAATATAGAAAGGCCCATTATATGAAACACGATGTGATACCAGCAGTGGAAGAGATACGGTTATTTCCCCTCCTCCCACCCCCCCCCCCCACCCCCCAACAACAACAACAACAACCAAAAAGAAATTGGAAATCTGGACCTAAAAATTAATATTTCCCCCTCATTTCAGAGCTTTTAGTACCTCATCGACGTCAGCGGTGTTCTATTTTTATTTTTTTCGTCGTTCACCAAAACCGACAATAAAAAAGAAGGCTATGCTAATTTATGCTAAATTTCAGGAGCATCAGGAATTCGAGTCGAGACTCGAAATGATCAAATGAGTCGAAACTCGAGACTCGAGAGCGCTATAAATTTTTTGGTTACATTCTTTTTGAAAAACCAAGAAGTCCCGCTGAGGCCTGAGTGGCAGAATGCGCCGTGCTGAGCACTGCTGACTGGTACATAATATTTAGTACAAATAACTTGTATTTTTATACTTATGTTTTGTTTTTGTTTTTTAAAAACAAAATATAAAAAAGTAATTCTAGAGGGACATGAGCTCGTGATACAGACTCTCAAAGTCTCAAAATAAAAATGTATTTACTATGTACGACAATTGAGATACATACATTGTCTCTCTGAGTCAGACTGAGAGTCATACACTATTACTTTGTTTTAGAAGTATTTTGTTGTATGAAAACAAACGGCTATACCTTTTCTTTAAATAATGACCAATACCTCCCTGTAATAGGTAATTCTGTACAGCCATTTCGTGTGAATATGAGAAGCCACGTGCGACGTGCGGGCAATATTCACAGTCGTTAACTGAGTGGGTTTGTTTTATATAAATCAATATTTTTATATAAATCAATTTTTTAAAGATATATAAAATGAATATTTACTGAATATTTTCGTATTTTTAAATACTGACAGTCTGACGACTGACGTCTGACAGTATGTATTTATTTATTTATTTATTTAGTGAATAGTTACGTATGTAATAATTAATTTTAAAAAAGGTTGGAAAAAATACTGGCCCAAGGCCCAACGGGACCTGGGTGGGAAGAGAGAGACTGGGGATTGGGGACTGGGGATTGGGGACTGGGGACTGGGTACTTGGGACTGGGTACTTGGGACTGGGGACTTGGGACTGGGGACTGGGGACTTGGGACTTGGGACTGGGGACTGGGGACTTGGGGCTTGGAACTTGGGACTTGGGACTTGGGACTTGGGACTTGGGACTTGGGACTTGGGACTTGGGACTTGGGACTTGGGACTTGGGACTTGGGACTTGGGACTGGGACTTGGGACTTGGGACTTGGGACTTGGGACTTGGGACTGGGGACTGGGCCCACTGGGGACTGGTAGAGTGTGGTGGACCCTGGTGCTAACCTCATTACGTTTCCCGTTAAAACGCAAAACAAAAAACAAAAAAGCGTTCACGCTTAAAGTTTATCCTAAATATAGTCCTATGGTTTTACAAATAGGTACATTTTTTGAGGCGGCCTAACTGTTACGAATTGACCTATTTTTTCACTTTGTCTCAGTTATGAATAGTTTCAAATCGCCTTTTCATTGAAAAAGGTCAATTTCTCGTGTGCAAATTTGGATAATTTTCATGGTCGATTTGCCCCCGATATACTACTTTAAAACGCTTAAAAAACAAAACTTTTAAAGTTTATCGCATATAGACAAAACGTATCGAGCTTAGCCCCTGGTGAGTGTGGACGGCTGGACCTCCTGCCTCCTGCCTCCTGGTCCTGGGGCTGAGGAGTGTGCACTAGTGCAGTGAAGAGGAGAGTGGAGACTGGATACTGGACTCACTCTGGAGAGTGGAGTCAGTGGACTGCGATCTATATAACTATGTCCACTCTGTGGTCTCCACTCTACAGTCTGCAGTTCTGTACTCTACACTCTTTAACTACACTTCAGGCCTCGAAAAAAAAGCGCATTTATTTATGTCTGAGACTTGAGAGTGAGGAGACGAAAACGTTAAACATTTTTAACGCATTTTTTGTCGATAGGTTTTTTGGAATGTTATTTTTGCATTTTTTAGACAAATGACGTCCCATATATTGTGAGTGAAGGTACTCCAAGAGTTCAAAAGTACAAATATACAAATAAGGCTATTATATTTGCGACGAACGCTCGAATTGAAACATGTTTTATTCGATTTGAAATATTTTGAATATGTACAATATATTCTTCAAACTAAAAATACATATGAGCAAAATAAATATGCCAGAAATGGCGCACCTCCCAAGATTGACTAAAAATCAACACCGCTACTATAATAGTGCTGCGCGTAAGAGTATATATACAAATCGTAAATGTTTTACACTGCCATTGAATCTATACCATAGAAAAAGATGCTGCAAATATTATTTCCTTTTTTAGCGGGTGCTATAGAGGCGTACTGCATAGCAGTGTCGTTTGTGTCAATCTGGAGCCAAGACTGGTACACGGGTGATGGGGGTTCATATGGAATCGCTACTGGTTGCCAGGATGGCAACGCTACTGCGCAAGTAGGAGATGCTTTCAAACTAAATAGTTTCTGTGAGTTCAGCTGGGGTGATCTAGAGGGCACGACCCAGAAAATTACCGCTTGCTTTTTGTTTGCGGGCGGGGTCTTGGGTATTGTAGCGTTCCTACTGCTACTTATCATGGTGTTTGGACACTACTGTTTCGAAATGAAGCCTTTCGCCGGCATGATGGTGAAGTATATCTGTATCTTGCAATCAATTGCACTTGCTGGAGCACTCATCGCGGTATGTTTTCTGTTGCTTGCGACATAGTGTCACATGTAGTTTATTCCATTCTAACTTTTTCCCCTATCGATATAGCTAGTGTGTCGTTTACGAGATTTTAACAACTCGTGATATTTCCGCCAAAGTTTACCTATTCTAATCGACAAGAACCATCACTCACTCACTCATCTATTGATTTGCGTCTCATGATTTGTGATAGATTGCTGGTTTCTGGCGTTGGGGCACTCCTCCTGACACCAATGTAGGGGCCATGTTTTACTTGGTTGTTTCGGCCGCCGGTGGAGCCTTTATCTGTGCAATCTTGTTGGATTGGACGTACCAATTCAATAAAAGACGCGCTCGCATTGCCCACAAGAAGGCAACTGAGCCTTCCCCTCTAGAGCGTAGCAAGCCTCCAGGATATGGACAAAGCCGTAATGGCAACACCCGTAGCCAACAAGAAGATATATATCATTCACAAGTGAACATTGATGACTCTAAAGCTGATTTGATGGATGATCAAGAAACAGAAGAAGATGCCAGTTCCAGATCTGCCAAATCAGGTAGAACATCCCAGCTAGAAATGGTTGATGAGCACGTGGATGAAGACCCGAGATCCATGAGGTCAATCAACTCATCGAAGTCGGTTCACGAGCCAGAGGAAGATGACAAATCCATCAGGTCAACAAAGTCATCCAAATCGGTTAATGAGCCGGTGGATGATACCAAATCCATGAAGTCAACAAAATCATCTCAGTCGGTTAAGGCTGAGGCACCTACACCTGATTCCAACAACACGCCTACTGCAATCATTCCTCCACCCCCTCCACCACCACCCGTATAAATGCGTTTTATAAAGTGTAACGCGCTTGGAAAATAAAATATCGTTTTTCCAGTACTGGGATTGGAAATGGCCGTCGGGTTCCCATTGTTCACGTGGCTGGGTATATACTTATTACGCGTTAAATCTTATGCTCGATATATGTAAACAGATATATATATATATAGTCTATTAAATTCCATAGCGTCAAATATGTAGTGAGAAAAACGATGACCATTGTCAACGTAAGAACATCTGTTTAAGTATATTGGAACAAGTGCAAAGCCACATGTCTAATATCCATCATCAGTCAAATAGTATCATGTCCCCAGCGCCCAATTGATTGGAGGCATTCACAGTGCTTTGTTGGCATCTCAGCATACCTTAAAGCGATATTTCACTACAACACAAAATCACAAACCCCCATGCCGCAATATTTTTACCTCTTTAGATTCTTCAATCCTATATACGAAGGTCAATCGCAAAGCAGGCAGTCAATAGTCTCTCAGACAGAGCACTGAACTATAGAATACAGTCTCTAATTAAACTTAATATAAATTGTAATTTTGTATTTTTTTAATAAATAGGAAAGCGAGAATATACTTCTGTTCGCCATCATTGTCAGTTCTCAGGTACAGTATCCGTATCACCCTCTATAATAGTCTAAAATAAATGTATTCATATTTATTCAGTCTTCATGGACGGAAGGCTATTTATGTAATATTGGTCAGAATTTCGTAGAGTTGAGACTTGAGACTTGAGCATGTATCATTGTATGCACTATACAGAATACACTGTATACAGTATTACTGTGTGTATCAGAGACAGTGTCAGGATCTCACAGACCCACAGCCTACGGCCTACGGGCCACGGGCCACGGGCCACAGGCCACACTCCACAGACCACAGTTACAGGATCAGTATTAAAAAATACCCCATAGAGGGAATAGACTAAAGAGAGTGAGACTCAGGCTGTGACTGAGTTACTCTGCGAGACCTTAATCGTGCTCGTGAGACTGTGATCTCGGACTGATTTCGGATTTTGTTGCACGAGATTTGGAATTATTAATGTATTCTCCCGGGCCCCCAGACTCCCAGAGCCCAGCCCACTCAGCCCACTCAGCCCAATCAGCCCAGAGCCCAGAGCCCAGAAGGTAGCTAGCTGACCGAAAAGCACATATTTTGCGAAAATAAATATGGCGAAAAATAAAAAATTGGCATATTAATATTTTTTTAAATAATAAATATGCACTGAAAACGTTAAATATAAAATATAAAGTATGATATGAAATTTGGAAAAAAAAATACGTAATACGCGTGTTGCTTTAAGAAATATGGCAAAAATAGTAATATTTGGTATATAAATATTTGAATATGCCATAAATATGCAATATTTCTAAAATATGCCATATTTTTTTATAAATATGCCATATTTCTAAAGTATGCCATATTTCTGAAATATGCCGTACTTTTGAAATATGCCATAAAGTACAATATATTTATATATATATTTACGAAATTTAATATAATATAGTATTTCACGGCTGTATTATAGGAATTGTATGGGCTTATAGCCTGTATTTTGCAGTTCTATCAAATGATTTATATAGGCATATTAGCTGTATTTTGCAGTTGTATTAGAATAATTATATAGGCAGAATGGGTGGTTTGTAGCTATATTAAAGGAATTGTACAGGTGTAGTAGCTGATTTATAGCTGATGCAATAAAATTTCGCATATACATTTTATTTCATATACTATATTATATAATATAATTTGTGAATATGTATTTTGTACATATGGCATATTTCTGAAATATACCATATTTCATATATATATATATATATATATATATATATATATATATATATACTATTTATTTACATATACATTATATATATATATTATCGTCTGTATATATATACATGTGTTTTCATGGACATATGTGTCCATATATATAGTTGTATTACTTCGCAACTATGCGTGAAAGACCCTGTCATTTAAACTAAACCAAATAGGACAAAATAACATCAAAAAATACAAACCCTCATGTTGGACACTCTTTTTGACACTAATGTAGTCGGGTGATACCCGAAAAACGCTTTTTTCATAATACATGCCAATTCGATATTTTGTCTCCTGAGCGCATCCTGGTCACAGAAGACATAATCCACACTTGTCACATTTCCTGCCAGAAGGGACATTGTGAACCTCATAGTTCACAGGCATACAAATAATTGTTCACACCTATCAATAGTATTCTCCTTGAGCTCTGTTACCAATTTCAGAGCTATCGTACCAGTAGTATAGCGTCAGTTGCAATTTAACCTGTTTCCGCTCGATGCATGTTGACCACCTTTTGCAAATAAGGTGGCAAATTGTTACCAATTTGAAAATTGATTGATTTTTGGAACAAAAAAAGGTGGCAAAATATTTATTTTTCAGTTTTATACTTGTGGTGTTGAAATACTGACAAGCAATCACACGTATTATATACACAAGTCAACACATAGATCGTTAGTTTATTTGACTTATATACAGTGACAATATGAGCCCACATGCCCAAATATGCCACCCCAGTGCACAGTATTCAAGTGCAGCTTAATCTGTACATCTTCCTGCTCCCTGCTAAATGATCTTTGTCGAGTTCTATGACTCGGAATGATGGCATTACAAAAATGCGTGTTTAGATGTCATATAACTCATGATATATTTATTATATAGATCTTTTACCTTTTTAGTGTACATAAACCAAGTGGAAGCTTTATACATATATGTTAAATTTTAGTATCAACTATCGCCACACGTACTAAATAGCAAGCTATGTCAATACATAATAATATGAAGTTGTATTTATGTGGAAATATACGAGAAATATTAAATATGAGGAAATTATACGAGAAATAATAAATATGTAACATATCTTTTTGGAAAAAAACAATACGAAACATGCACGAAATATGTTTTTAGGAAAATATGAAATATGAAATAAATATGCCATATTTTTTCATAAATATGGCATATTTTATATAATAAAAAAATATTCCTAATTTTAAATATGTACATATATTTGTATTTCCTAAAATATTAAATACGTGTATAAAACGTTGGAAAATAATATGCACTTTTACGTTTATTTGTATGTGTTCCTCGGTCAGGTAGCTCGCTAGAGTAGTAGTACATAGTAGAAGTCCAGGACCAGAACTGCGGAAGCACTGAAGGAGTGATTGAGGAGTCATTCCGACTCCCACAGTTTACTTTTTCCAAATTTGTACAAAATGGATACACCGCCAAAAAAAAAGCCGAAAGTGTCACCAACGTACGCTGTCGTACCGTCCAGAGTCCAGACTCCCAGACTCCCAGTGGACCAGCAGTGAGCCACTGACAACAGTGACAAGTGTTCAAGACCTAATTATAGATCACAGTACAGACTACAGACTACGCTCTACAGACTGTAACCGAGTACAGTAAATAAATACAGAGTACAGACTGAGGACACACCACACGATACATTGAACAAACATTAACGGCATCATCTGTAATTTTCTGTATTTTACCAGTTTTATCAACCCCCGGTTTTACGATCAAATCATCAAATACGAATACAACGAACTATTATTTACGACATCACAACAAGGCCCTGTAATGTTTTTAAATTTTTGGAGACCAATAAGAATGTATTATAATTATTCCGTGTGGGACAGAATTGAGGTTCAGAGTTCAGACTCTCAGATGAGTCGTATGTAGAATGTGCGAGAAGCAAAATTATTCCGTGTGAATGAAACTCACAAATGTATTTATATTTACATATTTATATATATATATATATATATATATACTTTTACTTTATATTTATATAAATATATATCACTACATACCAGTTATATACGGTCAAGGAATCGTTGTTGTATAGACAAACGCTAAGATATGTTACAAATTATCTTCCCCTTCTTGGCAGGCGCCATCGAGGTATACTGCATTGTGGTTGCCTTTGTCTCTATATGGAGTTCCGATTGGTATAGTGGAGAGGGCGGTTCCTACGGTATTTCCACTGGATGTCATAATGATACAGCTACAAACACTACCAATCTGCAAACATTCGATGTGACTGACTTCTGTGAATTCACCTGGAGCGATCTCGCCAACAACACAGAGAAGGCTATTGCGGGCATGTTGTTTGCAGCTGGTGCCCTTGGTGTGGTTGCTTTCCTTCTTCTGCTAATTATGGTCCTTGGCAGGTATGTATGTATCACTGTTTTTGCTGTGTCCGCACGGATATAAAATGATGTGATGTTTCAAATTTTCTGCAGACTTTTAATGGCCCTTGATATATATATGTATATATATGGATGGATGGATGGATGGGTCGGTGGGTGGGTGTTTTAAGCATTTGTTTCACCATCTCGGGTTTTGTATCGAGGGAAGTGGTGGGTCTACTTCTATGTTTAAAAGTGCATGGTGACTACACTAACATCCCCACATACCCACTCATTCCCCTGGCAGCCATACATAGGCAATATCGAAAACGCTTCGTATAGATTACCGGCCATAATACCGTACCCTCATATACGTACCTTGGGGACTAGATATATACCTCATACTCGCACGATTTGTTTTTATGCATCTTCCAGGTGCTGCTTCCAACCAAAACCCTTCGCTGGTAAGCTAGTGAAGTACATTTGCTTCTTCCAATGGCTTGGCTTGGCTGGCGCCCTGATTGCGGTATGTAGTGTGCTCTTCTTCAGAGAGTTTTATTTTCATTTCAGTTTAATACCCTTTTTAGTTTCATATGTAACTTTCTGCAAAACTCGACCCGACAAAGTACAGCATTCTAATTATAGAGGTGTCTGCCCCTACCAATCGTACTAGAAGCCTCGTACTGCTTTTGTGTTGTTAAATGACAAGTGCGCCGCGATACGCCACCATCATACAAAGAGCTCGCGCGTAAATGCATATTGACGTATGTATTTATGATACAATGCCTCTCGAACGTACAAATTGTGTCAGGTGGATGTGTACATATGCTGAATTCACCGTTATGCACCTCATGATTTTTCGGGTTGTCTAGCGATACCGCATTGTACGAATTTTTCGGAATAGGGAATATACTCACCTGACAGTAGGAGATAGGTTGTTATTTTTGTCGCTGGGTCAAACAATTGGTTCAGGTACTCGTGTGCTTATTAAAAGTACAGTAATATTACGCAGACGACTACCTCTAGTCAAAAATGTGAACATTTACTATTATATTCGCCATCCCAATCTCAAATCTTTTGTACTCGTACATACCTAAATATGCTTGTATATATTTACATTAAATCACAGATTGCCGGTCTATGGGGCTGGGGAACGCCCCCGGGAACAGACGTTGGTTCGATGTTCTATCTAGTCTCTGCGGCGGCACTGGGCGCGTTCATCAATGTCATTATATTAGAGTGGACATACAAGTTCATCACAAGACGTGCGCGTAACGCGAAGAAAAAGGCTGGACAACCTTCACCGCTCGAGCGAAGTAAGCCCCCAGGATACGGCACCCCAGAATATCGCAACAACAACACGGTACTGGAGTCTACTACCAATCTAGACGGCGACGAAAGAACCTCCTCTGTGAATATGGTCTGAGATGGTCTGTAGAGACTATCAAACATAAATATCGTACAAATAAAGGATATCAAATATAACAAAATCTGTGGGCATAGAAAACGGTAATAACTCGATTGTAATCTACGACATATACATTAGTTTAGAGCGCATTTAGTCAATCCATTTGTATCCAACAACATCTACAACAGTTCAAAGAGTATTCAGTCAATCCGATTGTATACAACATCTACAACGGTTCAAAGCGCGTTTAGCCGATCCAAGTGTACTCAACGACGTATACGTTGGTTCAGAGCGTATTTTTGAATGCTCTTCAATGAAATGTGTACACATTTGTGCATGTCATGCTGCTGCCTCCATCCCTTCGTATTCAGTCGTACGGAACTGCCGCGATTGTACTTCTCTGTATTGTCTGGCATTTTTAGATGTCACAGACATACACTTGGTTTATAGGGCAATTCTACACAAGTGGGTTATACTGATTGACATTACAGATAAATATCATTCATGTTCGGAGTCCAAATCAATATCAATTGCACTGACATGGTCGTCATGGTTTGCTCTAGATTTAATCGATAGAATCCTAAGGCAGGTAGATACATGACGCGATATCACAGAGCACTTCTGTGGTACATACATCATATATATATGCACATACATATGTATGTATATATGTATATATA